ATTAGCCCAATCGCATCATCTAGGGTCTTTCCGTCAAAGGTCGGAAAAACAACCTCGAGGTCGTTTTCCCGCTTGTCGGAAAGGCCCGAGAAGTTGCAATTGGGTATTAGCCTACTGTGGTTGCCGTTCGGTCATCTCCGTAAAATGTTACCTTCTTCAAACAAATAAGGGGAAAGAAAAAATACAAATTGTAAAGCAAGCAAGCAATAAAAATCCAGTCTTATTTGCAACTTGATGAAAATAAAGAGACCTTTTTAGTAATAGCTATTAAAAATATTGTTATTTAGAATTAATTACAGTTCATTTTGTTGTTCGTTTTGTCATTTTTTTAAGATTGCAAATATTGAAAATTTTTTAAGTCGTACGAAAATTAGACCATCAGAAAGTTATCTCCCTTGCCTTGAACACCATTTCAACCAATGAAATAATTGAAAATTTTCTCATCATGCAATTTCTACCAATCACGAAAGAGAGGAAGTGCATAGTCCGAAGACTGTAAAAAACTTCAACTATATAATACCGTCTTCCAAGGAAGACGGTAAATACACGTCATTTTGACATTAGATAGTCTGTCTCAATGTTCATCATTCTAAGTGCCATGAAAATTCAAATCTGTGTTATGCTCAAGGTAACGAGAAAATTATCTGAGACAAGAGTCAAATCCAATAAGACTTTATTTCCAGAAAAAAAATCACGAGTAGTTTCTTGCCAGATTTAGTTCTATTTTGGTGATCCTTGCGACATTAGAAGTAAGAGACATTTTGAGGTGATTTCAATATTCAAGTCTGCAACACCTCTTTAAATTTATAGCTGGATATTTTATTCGGCATTTTACTTCAATTTACAACATTAAAGTCAGACAACACTGAATGTTATTTGGTAACAGATAATTAAAAAAAGGATTTGTCATTGAAGTATCGTTACTTTCACAGGTCTCCTCACCAGAAAGATTCCTTACATCAAGGCATTATTATAAGATACCATAGGATGTTGTTTAATTTATTATATAATCTTTATGGAAATCAATAATATTGGCAATATAATGCTGATTAATTTCTTATGCATTACAAAGAGACACATTTAACATACGCAAAGAACTAATTTTGTCACATGAATCAGCACCAGCATTTAAGCAAAACAGCATCCAGCCAGCATGAGGATCAGCATTTAAAACAGACCATTGAATTATGTGCTTTATTTTCTGTTTAGACTACCAGTTAGTTAATGTGACTTATATCGTGATATCCTCTGTGAAATGGCAATTTTGAAAAGAGCTTTTGTCAATTATTTTCTTTCTCACATTTTTTCTTCTATGCAAGAGACTTAAAAAACATTTATGCCTCTTCTATAACAAGTGTTTTTTAACACTTATATACCTCTGTTAATTCTTCGCCGCACCAATGCTTGCCCCAGAATTCATCCTGATGATGTTGAGAAAAAATTGTCTAAAATAAAATTTTATTTATTTTGACTAGACATTTGAAAGACACTTTATGATATTTACAACCTTACTTTCAACAAAAAGTACAAAAAGTTATATAGCATTTAAAAATACACAATCTTTATGAAAGATGGTGTAACAAATTAAAAGAAAAACACTAGAAATATTTATAGTTGCATATGCAAACAAAGATTTTTTTCCTTTGTAAAAAAAACACAAAGGATACCCACCTGAAAAAATACTCTTTTTCCCATTTTCAGTGTTGTTTGATTTAGAACTTAACAAGGACATTCACACAAGAAGTTTTCTTTTTTTAAATAGATTTTGTAAACTTTCTTTGATGCAAAGGTTTCTAAGCGTGATGGTAAAAGAAGTGAAAATGTCATAAAGATTAATAAAGTTTGGGACAATAAACTTTTTTGAAAATAATTATTCAAGTAGCAGTTCTATCAGATTTGAGGGAAACTAACCTTAATTCTTTATATCTGTACAGCAGGTAGATAGTCTCAGTGATATCAAGAAAACATTCTAGGATTTCAAGTATAAACACTGCTAAATTTATTTCCTGGTTATCATTATTTTTGAACATGGAATAGGCGTGAATAGCAAGGAAGGCATCGAAAAAAAATCCGAATACTTTTGTCAAAAATTTAATCCATGGATTTTTAATATCTTCACAAAGAGTGATTAAAAAGAAAATCCAAAGGCAAACAGTGGAGAATACACACAAAGTAAAAAAAGCTATGCTAAAACCATTTTCTGCAAATTGTTCCATGTTTTGTAATGTAAAGAACAAAATTTCACCAGAAGTATCAGACGCACTCATGAATAAACGGATTCGTGGTGAATTTTTGTTTAAATCAATATATTCCATCAAAGAAAAGAAAAGCGTTATTAAATCATAGGCTTCCTCGGAATCTTCTTTGACATTCTCCTTGTTGTTCTCCATTGTTTAAAATTTTCTCTCGTTATATTTCACTAACTTTAAGTATGAGGCGTTCTACTTTATTAGCTGCACACTTATTGTGTATTGTCTGCTCAGATTGCGTTTAATTCCACATACTTGGACTTAAGATATCAATGTATATAGACAAAACTAAGGTACAGCATAGCAACACATGTTGACGTTCAGGCAAATGATACACAAGGGCAATCTTACATAGATACCTTTGATTGGATTTCTTCAAGAAAAAGATCTTTAAAGCTATTGCTTACAAAGAACAATGTTCGCCTCGAATTACATTTGGGCCAGAGATTTAATTTGAAAAATTGAAGTTTAAACTGAATCAAAGCTTTATAGTGGAAATAAATATTGGATATAATTATGCTTGCTTAAAAAATAAACCAAACGTTTGAGAATGTGTCCCCGTAAAACTCTTTTATGGCAGTCAAAACATGCGTGGATTACGTATTTCCGAAAGAAATTGATAGAAATATGAACTACTTAATTAGCATTTTTTTCCCAATAGAACCACATCATATCACCACTTAGAGTCCAAAGACAGCTACGTCAAAAAGTATAAAGTTGCTCGCCATGTTAAAAATCGAAATCAAAAGAGCGAAATAAGCTGCAAAAGTCAACTGACTCGGATCTTTCTTTTTAAGCGTATGCCAATCTTTAACATTGTGTTTTGAAGTCAAAAGATCGGTTTCAATAAGTATTTAGTAACACGATGATATCTCGTCAAGAAAACTATACTGATGCAGAAAAAGGAGAGACAGGGAAACAATGACGTTGTCAAAAGTCATCAAACAAAAGGCGATAGCTCAGGGTCATCATTTTAACAATGAAATAGCAAAAAGGTTGTTTAAAGCCCATCAAAAAAGATGCTTGAGTTTCTGATGGGTACCAATTGCGCCCCATTACTAACAGATCTATTTCGTATTCATATAGAGCAATCATTTTCCAAAATCTTATACGTGAAAAGAAGATAACACTTGATTCTACTCGACATTTACGTAGATATATCGAAGACGTATTGTAAATTAACAATAGTTATTTCTATTCTATGTCGATACGATATAACCAGGTGAACTTGAGGTAAATGATACCAAGTTTCTAAACCGAGGTTAGTTATTGAAAGAGAAATTGATGAAACAAGAATATCAACAGCCTTCTTTCAAGTCATCATTTCGTAAGTTCTATGGTCGATACAATTTATCAGCTAACTGACGTTTTTCATAATAATTGTATGGTCAATATATACACATTAAATCATCGAAGGATTTTCCAGTTAAAATAAAAATTTACAACATGACACTGATCCAATTTCTGGTTTTTTTAAGTCCGTGTTTCCTCTGCTTCAATTTTGTATTGTTTGGTGGACTTTTTAGCTTGAATACTGTTCGTTATCTCCACATATTTCATTTCAGTATTAATACCAATCTCTACATTATTTCAGTCCTGAATAGCTTTCCGTTCCTCCAAGGATGACAAGTAAAGCATGGCAGCTACTAACGATGGACAGTGTATGCTTACGTCTTTGCGGCACCTGATCCAATATTTGATTACTGAAAAAACTCTTATTTACTCTGCTTCCGATTTGAGTTTGAGTTTTGAGCTTGATTAATGTTTGTTATTTTTTAGCTCCATGTATATGTACGTAGTTTTAAAAGATGATGTGTTGTTATCATCATATTATTCTGTCTGTCTATCGACATGATTTTGTTAGGACATTTCCTTTGAGTTTGCTGAATGGATTTGTTCAAATGCCTCTTTAATCATTAATTATTATTCACCATATAAAAATGTTCATCTATTACTTTCATCATATTTTCTTCCTTTTACATGAATTTGTTTCAAACTTCAATCTATTCACATTTCAAATTAATGTAATGTATTTCAGATATGACTTCCTCACTTGGGTTCATTAGTTTCGAAACACACAATCAAGAAATTACCTGTTGGCACATCTGTAGAAAAATATGAAGTCCAGGAACTATACACTTTAACAAATATGACAGATGGTTAAAATGCATTGATTTTTATTATCTACTAAAATATAAGCAATATAAGGATTTAGTATACTGGATGTTTTAGGCTATGCTGGCTAAGCTCATCATTCATGAATTATGATTGACATAATAAAAAAAAATGGAATACCCCTAGATGCTTAAATACTTTTGGTGATTTTGTCTTTTCTTAAAAATAACACAGAGGGGTAAGTATATCTAATCGGACATTTCTTACTTTCTTTGTTCTTGCATCTTAATTAATCATCTTAATTGTTTATTAGCCTCTCAGGATAAAAACTTGTCGAAATTTTCATTTCTCTCATTAGAATAAACTATTTTAAAAAATTTCAAGGAAACAACATTTTTGATTTATTTCCCAGCTTAGAAATACCTGAAAAAAAAATTAAACATGATGCTTCACAGTTTCCCATCAAGGATTTACCTATTAAACAGTATATACATGATACATGTAGATCTATATGCAAATCCTATTGTAATCATGGAGAAGGTAAAAATTCAAAGAATCGCTCTTCGATATATGAACGTAAAATTTCGTTCCAATGTGTAGCTAAGCATTTGGATTCAAATAAAGCATGCTGTAAGGTTATTAAAACGGTCCAGGCAAGGTGTTCTCATATTCCACTGGAATATTTGAAGTTTTCTCTCTCAGTGACTCTGAAATTGATCCAATGTTCTCCGGTTTCGACGTAAGAGTATCATATAACGGGGATTGGAAGTGAATATTATCTTGTGCTAGTGCCTCATAATTTTCAATGTGTGGTTGGTTTCTAGCCACAGTGCCAGCAACAATTGAAGCGATGCTAAATAATAATAAAAAGTAAAATGTAAAATTTATGTTCAAAGTAATATTTTACAAAACATTATATAGGTAGATATGTGAAAAAGTTTAAACATTTATTTTGTAACATTAATTTCGTAGGTCAGCTGTATCAGAAAGACACTAATAAAACATGTACTTTTTTCAAAGATGACATCGTAATCCATTTTTTTTATTTGTGTTTGGTTCAAAATTTAACATCAACATTTCCCCTCAGATTCCGTTATTTTATTTCCAGATCCAGAATGCAACTTTGTTTCTCTCAGATATTTAATGTGAAAAAAAGGAATGCTGAAGAAAAAATGGAATTTTTATCGTACCAGGGTTTTGCAGATGTACGCAGCTTTCTATAAAGTATGACGCTGACTATACTAATGACAAGAAGGACAAACAGACTGATACCCAGAGGAAGAAGAATATCTAAAAAAAAAAGTAATATATTATTTGGCATTCATAACTTACTTAAAAAGCTAATCTGATTATCAATAAATAATTGGAAATTCCTAGTAACATTAAATACATGAGATAAAAGAATTAAATATTGTGGAAGCAACCGCTTACAATCGAGCATTAAAAGCCTTGACTCTCAACGTTCTTAAGCATACATCAACATTTTCTTGACGAAAACGTGTATGATAAAACTAGAGAAGAATACAGAGAACAGAAAATAAAACAAAAAATTACCTCCGATGGTCTCTTCGTTCTTTGCTTTCAAATCATGTGGAAAAGTAGATAATCGTTTATTCGTTGTTTGCTCCGGAGTGGTGGTCTCTGGACAGGGCCTCTATAATAGAAATTGTAAAATAATTAGTTTTTATTTAATATTTAAACTAAGATAAATGATTTAGGGATGCACATATATGCGTTTGAATATTTAAGCACATACGCAACGTAGATTGAACTTTATTGTGTTTCTCCTTGGATATGAAGAGTTCCAATACCTCAAGGACCTGTGTGCTACTCTTTTAATATCTATATTTTGTTTTGCACACTTCTTCTTAAACAATGAAAAAATCTATAATAAAAGTTCAGTAATTTTTGTGTATTTTCTTGAAATTATTCAAGAATTTTCATCAATTGATTATTTTGCAAAAACTCCTGGTAATGCATGCTCATTTCTAGTCTACGAATATCTAATGGCACTTAAATTTTAAATTAGAAATATCTCGAAAAACTCTCAGTAGATAAGGTACGTTGCGTATGTCCTTGATATACAATTACCTTCTAACGAACAAAAATAATCATCATTTATATGTTTTAATTACCGTCATATTGCATTCGAGTACTTTTGCATTGCAGCTGTAACATTCGTCATTGTATATGACTAATGACATAGATTCCCCATAGTTGACATCATCATATGACAGACTAATATCAAAACCATTCCCATATACAATTTCGGTCGGGGATCGTTTTCTTCTTCTCAAGCTACTTGGAAAGACTGCCTTTATAACTGTAGGTCCCATGTACGTGGCTACCGTTGTGTGCGTAGACAGCATGGCCACCTCATCATTATTAGTTATCTATAGAAGAGATAAACATATTCATAAGATGAATAAATGTTTAGTTTATTAGATATGCCAGGGCATTAACGATACTGAATTTCACGTTTTTTGCATTATTACACAAGACAACAAGTTCGCAATAATTTAATCTCGTGTATAATTATTCTTTAAGAACATATACAGCAATATCCACAATTCTTTAAGAAAAATTACAGTTAAAGACTATATCGCGAAAATAAGGTGTAGATCTACAGTACTTGGATAAGTTGGATAGTTTTAGCATATTATGCATAGATTATCCCACGTTTTCAATAGCCGTTTATGTCCCTGACATGTCCAACAAACTAACAACGATTTCTAATTCTTATATACACAATGCATTCGATCTTCATGTACATAGATCCTCCCACTGACATGAGAAATAATGACAGCCTCGAGCTCGGGAAATTGACATGCATAAGAGACACAAAGTCTTGACTTTTACTATGTACTTGACGTAATTTACATTTAGTTAGAATAATCGAAAAATCAACATAAATTTATTGAACCTGGAAATGTTGTTATTTTCTAAGCAATGAATGTGAGGACGATGCAGACATGTTCATTGAACAACAAGAATCAATGTCATATGTCAAGGCCATTCAAAGTTTTCTTTTCCTATCTAGCGCCCATGATGGTTTTTAAAACCCACCTAGCTATTCTAAAAAATATATAAGCGAAACATTAACACACAGACTTTATGACGTCAGAGTCTGAAGCATCTGCTCCATTTTTGGAAATTTTTACAAGTAAAAGACGTAAATGCTAAACTACTTAGGTAGCAATATATCCTTATCACCTGCAGATGGGGTTTATGTCTCCCATTTGATTCGATATGCCAAAGCATGGTCTACATTTGAACACATTCTTAAACGGGGAAAGCTATCGGCAAATAAGTTGATAAAACATAGATATCAACAGTCTCTAGGGAAGAAATCGTTTCGCTAATTGTTTGGTCGATACAATTACATTGTCAATAAATACAACCTAATCATTGAATCAAATGCTGACTGATATTTATTTATACTTATTGCAAGGACATTATTTATACACTAACTTTTCTAACTTTTTTGTTTTTCCTAATCAAGACAATGAGAACACGTCGGGTGTGACAGGTCGGCAGGGGATGCTCACTCCTTCATGGCACTGCAATATTGTTTAAGGTTCGCGTTTGCTCTGACTTGTATTGTTTAAATGGACTTGAATACTATTCTTTCTCTCTCTCTCTTTCAATGTTTCATATTTTAAAAAATAACGCTTTCATAAATCTATATTTGTCATAGAAAGATCAATTCCTAAGCAAAAGCAAAGTATTCAATCTTTATAAAATCTTATATGAAATATTCAAACATTTCGTATGGAAAACGTGAGAGAACGCAAAGATTTCGACCATAATAATTAATGTCAAAACCCCTGTTGTTTCTTTTAATATAGGATGTCAAAAACCAAAGACTCGCAAACGCTTAAAAAAACACAGAACAAGAGATCCAAGGGTCTTAACGGCCATCTGGGTATAAAAAGGTGATAAAGAATCTATAAGAATAAAGATAAGCCAACGTAAACTGATAAGTAAAGCATTTATTGACCAAAAGCAATAGAATCAATAATTCTTTTGATAAAATATAATCATGGATAAATGAAGCAATTTCCAACGTTTTCAATATCAAACCTCAAAGATCCATTTACTTTCCCTTTAGTCACTATCACCATGCAAATTTAACATAAAAACTAATCTTTCCCTACATATATATTGGTTTGTGTTGGACTTTGAAATGTATAAAGATAAAGCATTTTTAATCTCATTTTTATTATTTATTATTTACAGTTATCTGTCTGAGTGACTAAAGTGACATAAAAATCTTGGAATGACCTAATATATGATACAACTGTATGACATACCGAGTCATACTTTGTATTTGTTGCTTAACGAGGCCCAATCTAGTTGGATATTACGAAAACGGAATGATAAAAAATTTTGATTCTTGGAAATAAATTTGTTTGTATTATGCTAAGAAAAATTAGAATGAAATTTTGTTACATTGCCTTTATTGTAGTCAAATGGGGTCATTATCAAGATATGGACCATTTTTCGTGTTTTTATACACAATTACATACTAAAACTCCTCAATAAACAAAGGAATTGACAAATTAACAAAAATAAATGATGAAATGTTTTGATTTTCACATATATCATGCAATTCACATCCCTCTTAAAAAATGAAAAGAAAATCGGAGGTAGCCTTTATTGCAGTGAAAAGGGGGCATATCAAAACACAAAAATAGGACTTATTTTATCCAACTTTATGCTAGTATTTTATATGCAATAGGTTTAACTTTACATTAATCAACAAACGATTGTAATACTGTATAAGTTTCTAAAAATTAAATCATTCTTACATTATGGCATAATTTTCTCTTTATGCTCAATAAAAAAAAAATGGTGAGTATAAACACTTCAATGTTCAAGGAGAAAGACTAAAACGTTTACTTTTGGTTGCAGTTGGATTTTTTTTCTAACTCACAAATTGAAATAAAACAAGATAAAATTAATGAATATGTTCCAATAAATTGATACCTCAAAATAAATTATGTTTCAAAGTTGTTTATAAATTAAGTGCCTGTCTCAGAGAAAACCATGCAAAATGGTCCAGAAGCAAGTTTCTCTGATCGCCTTCAAACTTTGTGAGCCGAATCTAGCATGCATGAATGAAAATCAAACAAATTTTTATCGGGCTGATTAAACTCATATAAGTTTTATGGCCTGTTACTAAAAATAGCTCATATGCAACAAAATTAGAGGTAATTTTTTAAACATTTTAGTCATATTTTGAGGAGAAATAATATTGCAATTTTACAAGTTAATTAGATATTCTTTTTTGTAGTAAAAGGATAAAGGTTAGTTCTTCACAAATGCATAGTCAAAATAATTTACATCCATTTTGTTTTAGTGCAAAAAGGTCATGAAATTGGCACTTTTCCAATTTTTGGAAAAAGTGACAATTTTAGGTAGAATTGATATTGCTGTAACAACCAGTATTTGAATCCAATAAATGTTGTTGCTTATTGTTAAGGATGCTTATGTTAACAACATGTGAAAAAACTGTCGTTGGCAAATATATATTTTAGAAAATATTGAAAGTCAAAGTTTGTTAAATTTTCAAATCAAAAATTTTAAGAACACAGTAAACGTTAATTATAAAGTACCTAAAAACTTCTCCAAAAATAAAAAAAAAAATATTTCTGGATTTTTTTATATCATTACTTCAGAATTTAGACATGCATTGCTCTCAATTCAATAAATAATGACTGAATCCAAAAAAAGAATACATAATAAAAAGGTGGGGGAATTTATGAATTCCTTATAAACCATTACATGGATAATGTACAAGCCTTAAATTTAATAACCATTTATACACATTTGCTAGATAGTAACAAAAGTGAACACATCATTCATCATACTAGTCATTTGATCAACATATTCATTTGAGTTTGAAGGGGACGACCATTTGATTCTGAGGGGGGGGGGGGGGGGGGGCTGGCAGATTTTAGAAATAAATAACCTGTCCTTGAAAATGTTGAAAAATAAATAATCTGTCCTCCACTGCAAAGAAAATAAATAATCTGACATTGACTGATGATATTCAAATATTGTGAGAAATACCTTTTTTTATTTCAGTCTAATTTAACCTCGCCATCTTCAATTCACCAATTTTTTTTGGCTTGCTTCGCTCGCCATTTTAAAACCAAATAGTATTAATAAAATGAGATAAAAAAAAATCCTTGTGCACGTAACACAATGGCCAAATGCATCAATCCGATTGGCAATATTTTATATAAATGTGAGAAGAAAGAAGATGAATGTATGACCATGATGACCACTACCACAAGCATCATTGATAAGACAATACTTGCGGTATAGACTGGATACTAGTAGTCAGTTAACCTACACGACAATGTGCACTCAGTTGGTGTGATGAATCACATAAATACAAGCCAATTCTTATGCACGGAAAAAAATAAATTTTCTTGTAAAAAAATTATACCTACACTGTAGCAATGTTAATATAGCCCAATTTTTTTTTATCTTTTAAGAATCACTGGCGAATTGAAGGGGGACGTGGGGAGGGGGGGGGCATGCCCCCCTCCTTAAAATTGTCAAAGTATGATAATAATAATGCCATACTTTGGTACAATACCACTATTCTTGTGCCTAATTTTACTCTTAAAATACACGAAAAACCAGGAGTTTCCGGGGGTTTGCCCCCTGGACCCCTTTCAATCAAATAAATATGACATGACTAGCATTAATAATGTTATACTTTGGTACATAACTAACAAATACCACTACCTTTGTGCCTAGTTTTACTCATAGAATACACAAAACACCAGTAGCTTTCGGGGGCTTCGTCCCCTGGGCCCCCCACAAAGGGCTTCGTCCTGGACCCACTACATCCGGAACACCTCGGGCCTTTCACAAAATTTTCTGTGAAAGGCCCGAGGTGTTCCGGATGGGGCCCACTAGGGGCCTTTTGGCGGTCCCAAGACCCCCTGTCTATAGGATGTTGTCCACCCCCACCCCCAAATAACAAATCCGCCCATGATAATCACTTGAAGGTATTAATTTATCAAGGTACCTTAAGACAAAGAAGAAAATAAATAATCTGTCCTTGATACTCTTGAAAATAAATGAATTTCCCTTGACTGGCATGAAAATAAATAATCTGTCTCAACAAAATTTGCCGACCCCCCCCCCTTAATTCAGAATCAAATAGTCATCCCCTAAGAGGAACAATGTCTACAAATTTCAAATTTCATCAATACAAACATTGGAATATTTCAGACAACTGCTTTTTTTTATTGATTTTTTTTTTGACGAATGAAACAATACGTACATTCTCTTCTTTGTGAGCTTTTCAACTCAACTTGAATTCTTCTACAATTAAACACAATCTGGACAATTTACTGTTCTCTCACATTCTTCCAGGGACGTAGCAACAAGGGGAGGGGCACGAAATAGGATTTTCGACTTTGATGAATATAATTTTCGATTTTTTTTCCCTTGTCAACTTTTTCAGGTAAGTGAAAAAAATTTCTCTGGTCCCCCCCCCCCCCCCACACTTTCAAAAACCATGTTAAGTGCCTGTCTTCATACTTTGAAATGAAATATTATTGTAAATTTCAAGGGCAAAGGTGTTTACATGTATCATGATTAATTGTCCCCCGCTTAAAAGTGGAGGATATTAATTTGGGTCTGTCTGCCCGTCCGTCTTTCTGTCTGTCTGTCTGTAACGCTTTCGTTTCCACACGATATCTCGAGAATCCTTTGAGCTTTTACAATGAAATTTTACAGAACAACTCCCTGTGGCCTAAGGAATAACCCTATTGATTTTGAAGTCAAAAGTTCGAAGTTAATGGTTGTAAATTTATACATTTTGTCTGTGTGTAACACTATCCATTCCGGGCGATATTTCAAGAAGATTTTGAGCTTTTGCAAAACTCCCAAGGACCTCTCTCACCCTTCTCAAAGTCCCCCCCCCCTGTTTGTTTTATTAGTATTTATTGTATTACATGTCGCTATTTTTAGAACAGGGGCATGAGGAGACTTATAACGTATAAAACAGGTTCTCGGCGGGTTTTATATTCTTATTACATTCTTGTACATCTATTAGAACTGTTTATGAAAGGTTAAATTAGACACCATGCATTGTATAAAATTTTGACAATTATCGAACGTGAATATAAACAGGTATGTGACTTCATCTTTGCATATAATTATCGCCAGGTTAAAGCGGTTCCGTTGTGTAGTGGTATGTTTCTCGCTTCACATGTGAGAGGTCCAGGGTTCGAATCCCGGACGATCTATTTTTTTCCGAATTTTTTTTTTTTTTTACTAAATGATAGTTTTCAGCATGTAAAATGAAAAATTTATGAGGTCAGGCTTGTACAAACTCATGAAATCATCATTATAGTGTGATAAACATTCCACATAAAAAGAATCTTCTATACACATAAAAAGAATAAGCAATCAAATCTTTATAAATATCCATATTGGCATATTTTATTTGCTTCAGTATACATGTATACTAATTCGAGATTTCCCGCACAAGTCACAGGCGCGTAGCATCGTTTTTGAAAGTGTGGGGGGGGGGAGCAAGAGAAAATTTTTACTTACCTGAAGAAGTTGACAAGCAAAAAAAAAAGGAAAAAGTTTGCGTGAAGTCGAAAAAATCCTATTTCGGGGGGGGGGGGGGGGGGGGGGGGGGGGGGGGGGTAGGTAAACTTTTCCTCAGTGTTAACTACTTTCAGTACCAATTCTAATACTACATTTTCAGTTCATCACTAAAAGTGAGGGGGCCAACCAGGCTTTAAATTGACATTTCCTATAGTATGAGTAAGGTTGGGAAAAAAGTGGGGTGGGGGGCAGGGCCTCCCTGCCCCCCCCCCCCCCTACCCCTGTTGCTACTCCCCTGATTCATAATATGAAAGCGGTTTTTAGAATCAGAGGAATCTCGGATTACATGTATACATTTGATAATTCTACAAATTCAGTCAAGGGGATCCGTCTCCCCACCCCCTCCCCTCGAACTGCACATTGTTTACTTTTGCCCTTACCATGCTTACGGGAGACATATAAATTCTCTGAATTAGCTTGTTTCAAGTTTACGGTGTCCCAGGCTTGACAAAAAAGACTTAATACACTCTGAGAACTTCAAACATGCTAGACGTTTTTCGGTGCTTCTGTCACAATCAACTACACGAGATATTCCTCTGTTTCATGACACGAATCTAGGAAAATTTGTGAAAATCACATCCTTGTGAATTTTTACTCATTTTGTTTGCATTAAATTGTGAGTTTTTCCATAGAAAGTTGACTGCTTTTATGTGTCATTATTAATTTCCCCCATAGACATTTTCCAGTGCAATTATTTACCTTTAAAGAAGGAGAGTTGCGCAAGGGGACCTAACTCTGACTAGGCAAATGCAAAAAAATCTAGATATTAAATAAATATTAGTATTAAAGGCATTTAAATGAAAAAAAGTTTTCTTTTCTATTAATAAACAATTTCTAAAAATTTAGTATGTCATGAAAATACCATTTAATCATTTATGTAAAATTTTTTTTAGCATGAAATGGCATGTTTTAATATAAGATTAATATTGAAAAATTCACCCGTAATTGGAATTTTTTTCTGTGATGCAGAGTTGTTTGCCAACGACAATTTTTTAATATGTTTTTCCTCTATATTGAATAAATTCAAAACAGTATAATTCAAATAAAAAAATCATCCTCGCTTCAAGATACGATTAAGCAAACTTTGAAAAAAAAAGCCTTTATTGCTAAAATCTAGATTCTTTGTATATTCCCTGATATGATGTGGCTAAATACAAAATATATATGTAAATTTTATTAAATGAATATAATTAACTACTATTGCACTTTCATGACATATGCAACATTGAAATAAAAATTATAGCAGATATGTTTAAAAAACGCACTTAAAATGCATCATTTTCAATGAATGTCAATGCTCGTTTAACACTTTTTTACAGGAAAACAAATAATCCCCGTTACTAAAAATAGAAACAACTTACGACAAAATGTAAATCATATTTTAAGTCATTTGTACCAAATCTTTATTTGTATGGGTCACTTTTAAATTAACTACGATAATGCATCTGGACAATTTTTTTCAATTTGCATGGTTTTCTCTGAGACAGGCACTTAAGTAATAAAACAGCCAGAATGAGCCAGCTTTCAACAAGCAGATTTTAGAGCAAGATCCGCGAAATATTTTAGCGCAATTTGACGTCATTTTAATTGTGACGTTATTGTATTCAATTGTGACGGCAGTCCAGGGTACTGTGACGTGCCTGAGTCGACGCTGCGTTAAAACGTATGCGCAGATCAACTAGATCGGGCCTCGTTAAGGAAATATACACCGACAGTTAACTCACAAAGCATCGATCATTTTTGTTTGGTTTTGTCATTCTTTACTTTTTCCATTTACGTCCATTTGTTTTATTTTTGAATTGATAAAATTGTTTAAACTTACCAATCAAATATTACATATAATACATACCAAAAAATACTTTAATTTTACGGAGACTATTTCCGACAAAAAATGGCCGTATATGTTCGTCTTCGCACAAGGTCTTTTGGTAGTTTTGCACAAGCCATTTTCCGGTAAGGTAGTATTAACGGGAGGAGATGCTTTTTCATGTGAACAGTCAACATCCACAAACAAATCATCACATGTACAGACACCTATGTGCAATAAATTTACTACATTTAAGTTTGTTTCCCATCATGCTGTAATATATGTTTACATGTATACAATCTGAATTACTTACTTAATCTTTTTTTCCAATTTATCTTGCATTCACATTTGATTCTTTCGCAAAAAAGCATATAAACAATGAAATGAAAGTCATTTACCTTCATTGCAAATACCATTACCCGAGCAGTTATTCGGACAAGCAAGTTTACCAATTGTTTCAACGACTGACAATTCTTCTTTACTACTGGTCTCGTAAAAGACTTCGTATCTCTTGACCTCCCCAAAACATGATTCTTTAAGTGATTCTATAGTATGACTCAGAAATTCTGTCGTTCCAGCATCCTACATGATGGAAACAAATATTTACTTGGACATATTTAAGGTCAGTGAGTTATATATCTAATAAACATACATGTATATTCAATGATAAGCAATATATAAATTCTGCAAGCAATACATGGCGCTGAAGAATGACGCATAACTCGCTTGAGTATTCAAGACGTTCATTGGCATTTAATTTAAACCTGTTGACAGAAATTCAAAGAAACATACCAGCAATTTAAGCATGGTTATTCTTTTTGCCAAAATAATTCATCTGCTTCGATGTATACAAAATAAACATGTATACCGCAGTATCGCAAAGTTACAGGTATTGCACATTGTGAAAAAAATTTAGTAATAATACCTAGACCAAACCAGATGGTAAACTTTTTAAAAATTTTGCAATTTGGTGACTTTTTACTATTACTTTCATGTATTTGACTGAAAAGGAAATCCCTAGGTTAGAAATACAAACAAACAAAAAAATAAAAGAATTGGTAGTTATGTGAAATTTTGGCGCTTTTCCAACAAACCATGAGTTCAACTGTTAAAATTTAAATACTTCTGAGATGGCCTCCTCAGCAATCAGGATGATAAACATTTGATTTTTTTTTTTATCTCAAAATAATTAATATAAATGCAATAGTGAAAATTCATTCAAGTAAATTTATCAAAACATCTGGTGTAAAAATAATTAGACTCGGCCTCGTTAAATGATATGAAAAAATTCAGGAATCTGTTAAGAAAAAGAGCAGTCCATTGCCTTATAAATTGAATTTAATCGTATTTGAGTGGTCAGAGTTGATCACATAAAAATGAAATATGGTCTAACGCGATGTGCGCATGATACATGTAGGTATTAGAATATTTAGAGTATATACATATAGTATACAATTACCCTTATATCAAGAATACATTCTTCAATGGCAATACTGGATTTGTTGTCCATTGGAATGTGCTTTTGACATTCTATTTCGGCTGGATCATTTAGTATTGCTTTCTCGCAGACCACTCGAGCAGACTGTTCAGTCCATCCATTATGCCAAGTTGGAGTCTTAATATGAAAAAGAAAATAAAAATAAAAAAGAACGAAAATTGCATAATTATTCATAAAAATAACTTCAGAGATTTTTGTTACTCTTATGTAAAATAAAATTTATTGCAAATGAACAAAAGTTTATATAATGAGATTGTGCTTGTCCATTTATTCTCTTTTACAGCAAACACTTGGCTTTGATCTTTCTAAATACAATTAAATTCTACATAATATTGTAAAGAGGAAATTAAAGATGAATGAACTTAATTGGAACATATGTCTTAAAATAAATAAATAAATAAATTGTACATTTTCCAATACAATCATATAGTTTCCGTTGAAATTCCAATTTCATAAAATAGATGAACATTGAATGAGATAAATTTAATAAATATTAAATACTTAGTTACTTAGTTAATAATTACTTAGAACTAAACGACACCTTGGAAATTATAACATATTTAGTATTTACAAAATATGTTAATTTTCAAAGGGAGTTGAAATATATATAAAGTACCGGTGGAACAAAGTCCGGGTCAAATTCAGAATCATAAGTTAGCGGTGGAGTATCAGTGACGTCATCGGGATCTGCACTCCTTCTGAAGATCTTATGAACAGAACTCATACCGTTGATATTACGTTTGTATCGATTTTCGTAGGTTTCACAATTATATGTAAGATTTGATGCTTCCTGATGGCACAATACTGCAGGAGAGGTACTATTTACAGAACATTTTGCAGTAAAATGACTCGTCAGAGCTTCTTGATCAGCTAGGCCCGACTTTTCAGTGGCACAATCACAGTACCTCTGAAGTTCTAAAAAATCATTTCTTTTCAACACGAGGTTTGGACCAAAAAGACTTTCAGATGAGGCTTGACTAATACTGAAAGAAATAAAAAAAATTCAATGGCACATTTGCGATTCCTGCATGTATAGTAAATTATTTCTGGTTGTAAGTTTAATAAACAATAATTTCTTAGCTCATGTACAACTCCGCGTTTTTCGCACAAATAAACGTCACTTTATTACGCTGAAAAATTGTGTAATGAGGCAACAAAGTAAAATTTCAAAGCGATTGTTTAAGAACCATTTTTTTCACTAACTCAAAACATAATTTACACGTATCATTGATTATTGGAAGAACTCCGATATGCTCTTGCCTGACGGATTATTACAGTTCCAAAATGATTTAATGTTTTCTCGGTGATTGCAACCGTGGTTGAAACTTGTTATTTATTAAAAGTAGGCAAAACGAATACCATGATGTAGAAGTGAAAGTGCAATTTATTAAAGTAAATGATGAAAGAAGTGCTTTTAAGGAAGGCCATACTATTACGGATCCGGTTTTAATTTTACACACCAATATAAAATTCTGATTTTGACTTTATTTGTAATAAAATATTTTGGTTGCTTGAAAATAGTTTAATAAGTATATATTTATTAATTTTAGTGTCAATTTGAATACAAAGCATTTAATATATACTATTTATGCAAATTAACACTTAACACTTTGTCCATAGGATTTATATGCTTTTAGCACACACAGACACAAAATTCTTAATTGCCTTTATGAACCTAAACCCTTTTTTTAAACAAACTAACGTGAGATCTATTTTGATAGATTTTAGGCCTATATCATCTTTTTAGATTTTACTTTCAATTTAAATTTTGTAAATTATGATTGAAAAACTTGATATTCCAAAAATGGGTGTATACGTGTTCAAAGGGCTGTTTTGTTAAATTTTTCTGGTCAATCATAATAAAGTTTGTGTTTTTGTTACCTTAGATATAATTCTTACTTATTTTAAAGAAAAAATGGCATGTAAACAATTTAGATTTTGAGAATTGTTAAAAAAAAGAGATTTTATTCTTAAAGACGTGGACAGATTCAACATCAATTTTTAATGTTTTCCATGGAAGATTTCAAATATTCTCCTGGCAAATGAATGTTGTTTGTTTCCACAAGTTTTAATATAAATTTGATGTAATTTGGTGCATAGCTAAATAAAATATGATATCACACTTCTTTATCTTTAATTTTGGCTGTTGAATCTTTAGAGGTATATACTCTGAGACATGTTGTATGAAAATTAACCTGCAAAGATATGTTTTTATGGGTGTTTTAGTTAGTTCATGAGTTATTAAAGGTATTCAAAATGATCAGTTTGACAGAATATTTTGAAAGTACGGGCTACCTTAATCAAATAAGAAAGGTTCAATTCTGAATCAGAAAGATATCCCGGCAAAATGGAAAGAACTGAGATCCACCTCCTAATTTTATAGTCATTAGTGACCTGTTAAATCCCCTTCCCTAAAACTGGGGTCCCTGTAGATTAATTACTTATAATCTCTGTACGTGTGGCTAGTGAAGATTTCCCCTAGTGATCACAGTGATTCATTGCATCTTTCATGAGCAGACAGTCACAGATCAAATCAGAATCTTCAATAACACCACATTTACATGAGGTTGTGTTTATGTTGGATTATTGTTAAATTGTTGGAAAATCATTCAATAATTAGCAAGAGATTTTCATGCATTATAGAGCAGTGATTTGCATCCTTTTCTTAGCAAAAAATATCAGAATTAAAAAAAAAATCTTGAAAAAAGCCTTTGTTGTATCCTGAAGGACTGTAATATAAATATATTAATATGTATCATTTGTACCCCGTTATAACATGTATAAGCAGACCTATGAATATATTACACTAACTATTTTTGATTTTTAAACTCTCCGCGTGAACGCTATAAGTGAAGCTAATTCGCAGTAACTTACATTTAATTCGAATCAAACTCTCCGTGTGAACAGGGCAATAGATACGTGAATCATTAATTAAACTCGTGTTCCACAGGTACACACATCTTCCTGATTACATACCCCCAGCTCCTCTGAAATTCGAGTTTATTCAACCACATTAACGTAGAGGATCCACGGAGCCTGAAGTCGTCTAACTCGAAACCATTAGGATTTCCACACAAGCCCTCTACATTGTCCTTGTCAAATATAGAAGGGGTTATGTGGATGTTGTACAGCCAATCTCTGCCTACTCTGAACTCAACGATAGCACCAGTTGGCAAGGTAATCTAGTAATAACGACAAAACAAATTGAATGAACAATTTTGAATAACATTTTAAAAGTTAAGTTTTGAAAATATTTGAATTTAAAATGTAGATCCTTAACTTTTTTGGCTAGCAATATTGAAGATCAGTATTTAAAAAAAAATAACTTCATGATACGTAGTTGTTTTCAAGTTTGTCATTTGTCGTTTATTAAAAATTATCCATCTTGAGGGTTATATTTAACTTAATTACATTTATATTTAACAAAGCATAAAATACCAGGTATGTTATAATTGGAGGTAATACAAATCCTCTTGTAGGTCTTTATCCAGTTATATGACGACGCATTTTAATTGGGCTATACAGAAGTTTCATATATTTTATATATGCTTCATTAAACAATCAGTTATGTTTTTATCATTGCATTTGGTGGTAAGTGTCCGTCCTGTTTTCTATGTAATCATTTGTTGCTTTTGTGAATATATGTTTCTATTTCTAAAATAGATAGCGCGATCTTTCAATCGTTTGAATGAAAAAGAAATTCATTTGGTAAATAAAGAAATAAAATTGTTTGAACGTTTTTTTTATCAGTTGAACGATTTAAAAAATCTAACAATTCTTCAAAATCAAATGTCAGTTCGAATATTTTTAATATCCCAAAGAACCAAAATGAATGTGAACTACAATATCTATATTGGATTCCCAAATTTCATAAAAATCCTTACAAAGATAAATAACGGATTCTAGTAAATGTTCAACGATGCCTCTTTCTTTACTCCTCATTAAGATGTGAACAGTAGTGATTGAAAAATTCAACAGTACAACAATGTTTTCAAGAAGTGATGTAAATAAGATGAGGATACTTAAAAAATTCTAAAGAACTTTTGGACAAATTGAAATCACAAGATTCTTTTCAAAATCAACAGCTTAAAAATTTACGCCTTCTTAACTTTATACAAAACCAACTTAATATACAACCATTCCCCACGATAATTGAAGTCCAGGCTTTTTGATATCATTGACATCTGCTTTATCAATAAAAATGGAACTCGTGAAATTACTTTCCTTGTCATTGGTCATTTTCAAAATTTTTTTTGTTAAAAACATTCTGATTGTACACAAAGGTACTCTGAAGTTGACATCAAAAAGATACTCGAGTTTTTGATTGATAATATCTATAATGTTTTCAGAGACGAGGTCTTCCAACAATCTATTGGAAGTCCAATATGTATCAATTGTTATAAGCAAACCTATTCTTATATTCATTTGAAGCAGGATTTGTCCAAACTCTTGAGTTTGAAAAGAAGAAAAAACTTTCTGTGGCCTTCATTTCGACATTTAGATACATCGACATTTGCCAATTAACAATAGTAATTTCAATTCTTATGTCGATACAATAATCCTGGTGAGCTTGCAATATAAGATAACTCCCGAGTCTGAAAAATCTGTTTCATATTTGAATATCTTTCCTCAAAAAGACGTTAATGGTAATCTAACAACCAAACTCTATGATAAACGTTATGACCTTAACTTTTCAATTGTCAACTTCCCTTACTTATGCAGCAATATACCTTCATCACCTGCATAAGGAGTTTATTTATCTCAGTTGCTTCGATACAAGAGCATGCTCTACGTATGAACAATTTCTAAAACGAGGTAAATTATTAACAAACAAGTTGATGAAACAATAATATCAGCAGTTTCGTTTAAAGTCATCATTTCGGAAGTTCTATGATAGTACAATGACGTCAACAAAAACAACTTATCATTCAGTCAAATGCTGACTAACGTTTTTCATACCTAGTGTTAATTATTCCATATTGATACACTGAATTGACGACGAATTTTCCCGTTATTTCCCGATCATGACAAGGAGCTCATAGCGGTTGTGACTGGTCTTCAGGAGATACTCACTCCTCCATAGCATCTGTTCCCACCTATGATGCTTTGGAGATCAGTGCTTGCTTTGCCACTATTTTGTATAGACAACTTTCACATTTACAAATGTTATTCCCCTTTGCGGGGTCAATCCGGGGTCAACCGGCGCAAGAAACTGTTTTACCTCTAAAACCTTACCAACTTTATGGGTCAGTATCTTAGAAATAAAATCTGTATGAGTATGTTCATTATGATTTCCATGTTGCTCCATACTCTGGCGATACAGGTATAGATCGAAATCGTCCGATAATATTTGAAGATTAAAAAAAGTGTGCAAAATAAGCGTTAGGCCGACAAGAAAAATAGCTAGAAATAACTCTAGGAATTGAAATTCGTTGATTATTCTAGTACCGTCGCCCATGTGGCGCTGGAAAATACTCTTCATTTCTTAATAGGAGCATAGAATTAGATTTGCAACCCTCCACCGAAAAGTAGTTTCTTGATATGAGTAAAAATCTTCGAGATGGGCGTTAAACAACAACATTTAAGTAATAAAACTAAAAAGTGAATTTAACGGGAAATTAGAGGAATGCAAGCTCACATCATTTTGTTTAAAAATTTGTAGTGTCATGCTGTGGGCAAAAAGTATTCGCGCAGACATAACAAAGTAAGTACGTTGTACTAGCGTAAAAAGATACTTGTAATAAAACTGTCATATTGATTTTGAAATATCTAAAAATTCACTGTGCCAGTTAAACAAAATTTACCTTTTTTAATATTATAAACATAGTTTGTAATGTGTACGCCAGTGAATATTTAAATGTAATTTCATTCGTTAACTACTGTATATTTAAGGAATCACTGTCTAGTTAGTATAGTATGCCAGGGCATCAACAATAGTGGGAAAGATGGGATAATTTGCATAACGGGCGAATGCATAAATGTCACAGATCTTTGTCAGAAATAAGGAACAGATTTTTGAAAAAATATATTTACAATATTTATTACATTTTTACATCAATATTTTTTTTTTATATTTTACTTGATTTAATAAAAGTTTAAAATAAAAGTCTATATCAATGACTGTTGACTGGTTCCTCAATGGATCAGGAATGGCGCTGTGGCCCGTAAT